CTTAGCTCACATCCATCTCACAGTGGGTCCAGTGGGTCATGAACCCATCCTGTAGTGATTTCTCCAGTTCCAGAATGCACAGTTGGAATATACTCAGCAACTGTCAGAATCCCCACATTGGATCCCTTACAAGTGGTATAAGGGCTATTATTGTAGGAAAAGCCAAGTGGAAGCCATTAGAACTGCCCATACCTAGGAAAATAGTAAACCAAAAGCAATACCGCATTGCTCGATATTTTTCCATCCTTTGAGTTTTAGTTTATGTCTTTATATCTAAGGTGTGTCTCTTGTAGACAGCATATAAATGGATCATGTTTTCTTTTTATCCATTCTAACACTCTCTGTACTGATGCATTTGGGCCATTTACATTCACTGTAATTATTGATAGGTCTGAGTTTACTGCTATCATTTTGATTTTTTTGTTGTTGTTTTGTTGACAGTTTCTTTGTTCTGCTTAATTTTCTGTGCTGAGCTCGTTTATGTATTTTCTTTTCATCTCTTTTATTACTGTTGATTTTGTGTTTGATGAATATTTTCCTTCTTTTATTTTGATTGGTAGGTTTGTTACCTTCCTTTGTGGTTACCTCAAAATTTACCTTTATCTTTCTAACTTTAAACCAGTCTTTTATTTCTTGATATCACCTTGACTTACTCTCCATGTGGAAGTTCTATGACTATACCATTTATTCCCTCTTTTTTGTTCTGATGCTATCATCATCTACGTATTGAAGTCTCTGGTTCCCTATTTTCAGTCTTTTAGCTTTGATTTGTTTTTGTGAATTTCCTATCTGAGTTGCTGACTGATCTGTCCTGTCTCATAGTCTTGGACTGTTGTCTGATATTGTTGGTTCTCTAACCAGAGTCCTCCCTTTAATATTTCTTGTAATTTTGGTTTTGTTTCTACAAATGCCTTTAACTTCTGTTTATCTGGAAATGACCTAATTTTGCCATTGTATCTGAGAGACAGTTTTGCTGGATACATAATTCTTGGCTGGCAATTTTTTTCCTTCAAGGTTTTATATATGTCATCCCACTGCCTTCTTGCCTGCATGGTTTCTGTTGAGTAGTCAGAGCTTAGTTATACTGGTTCTCCTTTGTAGGTTTTGCTTATCCCCACCCGCTCTCAAGATTCTATTTTTGTCTTTGGTTTTGATAAGTTTGATTATGATGTCTTGGTGACTTTCTTTTGGGATCTACCCTGTGTGGGGTTTGTTGAGCTTCTTGGATAGATATCTTCTCATCTTTCGTGATACCAGGGAAGTTTTCTGCCAGCAAATCTTCAACAATTCTGTGTTTTCTGTCACCTCCACCCCCTCCCCATTCTGGTACTCTAATCACTTGTAGGTTTTTCCTCTTGATAGTGTCCCACATAATTCTCAGGCTATCTTCATTTTTTTTCATTCTTTTTTTTCCTGGTTTTTCCTCAAACAAATTGGTGTCAAGGAATTTATCTTCAATCTTATTCTTACTTCCATTGTCTCAATTCTGCTCCTAAGACCTTCTACTGAGTCGTCTAATTCTGAAATTTTCTTGTTTATCTTTTGGATTTCTAATTGCTGTCTCTATATGGTTTCTAGCAGCCTGTTTATTCTGTCATTTTGTTCTTATATTGTTTTCCTGAATTCTTCCATTGCTTTGTCTGTGTGTTCCTTCATTTGATCTGAGTTTTGCCTGATCTCTTGGAGAGCTCTATACATTAGTTGTTTGAATTCTGTATCAGGTAGTTCCACTGCCTTATCTTCCTCCAGAAGGTCTTCTGGTTCTTTACTTTGGTTGCTTGCTGGAGCTATCTTGTTCTGCTTCATTGTGTGATTTGATATTGACTGTCGTCTTCAAGGCATCAGTAAGTTATATTTATTTACTTATTGTATTTTTGTTTACTGTGTTCTGTATTTTTGTTTTGTTTTGATATGTCCAAGCAGGTTGGGCATGTGTGCTACTTTGGTTGTTGGCGTCACTGAAGCTCTCACATCCTGTCTCCAGGTGGTCAGAGCAGCTAATAGGTGTGTGAGCCTGGAAGTCTGTTCACTGTTCTTGCAGGGGTGTGTTCATTCAGGGTGCAAGTGTCCAGGTTGTCAGTCACTGAGTGCGTGGTGCAGAGACTCTTACCTACAGTCCTAGGCAGGCAGGGCTGTGTGGAGGTGTTTGGAGAAGGCACAGGTCTCTGGTTGCAGCAGCAGGCAATGTGTTGAGCAAGGCAAGGGGCTACTGGCTGCCCCCCACCCCGAGGTTCCTGGATGGTGGGTGTATGGGTGGGGGGTAGTACAGCTGGTCCTTGGAAACCCAGCACCATTGACTGGAGAGATTGGGAGGCATCGCTAATTCTCAGGCCTCTGTTGTGGGTGGCTAGATGGAGTGGGTGGTACCGCCAGTCCTCAGGCCCCTGTTGTGGGTGGGTGAGGCCCCTTCTTATGGGACAGGGTAGTGTAGAATGTCACAAATTTGCAGTTCCCCATTGGCTGCTGCCGGTGAAAATGGGCTTCAGGTGGGTGCCCTGCCCATTTTATGCTAATGATGGGGTGTGGTGCTGAATCAGCCACAAGGCACTGGGGCGACAGTGAAGGACGCTGCAAGTCCGTGGACCCATACGCCACTGGCTGGATGAAGGGGTATGGCCTCTAGAACTTCCGAGAGTTCCTGGCTTAGGGGAAATGGTGTTGTTGAATGCCTCGGGACTGGAATTAGAGCAGGGAAGGGGATGAGTGAGGGGAAGGGAGTGCTTCTCGGCTATGGATCTCTGGTGGGGGGAGAGGTTATGTTGCCAGCGCACACAGTGGGTTGGGAGCTTGCACTTAACTTTCACAGGTCTGGTGCTGCTCCTATTTGATTCTGGAGGTACATGCAGATTCGATGCTGTTTGGTGAGTTTCGACTTGGGATACTGCTGCTTGCCTCAGCCTGTGTGCGTTATGCAGATTCAGCCAGCAGGACGCCAGCGGTCCTGCGATCTGTAGTTCCCCATTTCCACTGTTTTTGAATTGTCTCCCCTTCCACCTGCAACTCAGTCCAATTCTTCAGCTTTGTCTTTGATGATTAGGGTTCCTAGATTGTCGTATATATTCGATTCACTTGTTTTTTGGGGTCTTTGTTGTAAGAGGGACAGCAGGAAGCATCTGATTATTCCACCATCTTGGCCCCGCCTCCATAGAGTTTTCCATGGCTGATTTTTCAGAAATAGATCATCAGGTGTTTCTTCTGAGGGACCTCTGGATACACTCAAACCATCAACCTTTCTGTTAGCAGCTGGCACATTAACCATTTGCGCCACCCAAGTATTCCGGCATAGGAGTAAGTCCTTGATATTACTGTTGTTAGTTGCCATCCAGCCGGCTCCAATTCATGCAGCCAACAAATTATTCACAATTGTGTATAACAGAACGAAACATTACCTGGTCTTGTGCCATCTTCATGATCGTTGGTATATTTGAGTCCATTATTGTGGCTATTGTGGCTATTAGGGTTTCCTTCATTTTTGTTGACCCTCTACTTCATCAGACATGATGACCATTTCTAGAGTTTGGTCTTTCCCAATGCCCTTGACGTAATACCAAAACCAAACCCATTGATGACAAGTCGATTCTGACTCTTAGTAACCCTATAGGTAATGATTATTACCTTAGTAGACTGTGACGATCTTTAATCATTTGTTCATCTAACAAGTATTTACTCAATGCCTGTCATATGCCAGGTTCAATGTTTGACATTAGAGATAGAACAATAAGCAAAACACAAAACAGTTCTGCATTCAGGGAGTTTATAGTCAAGTGCAGATAGCAGTAGAATTATGATACAAAGAATATATAATTACAAATTTTGGAAAGCACTTTAGAAGAAGTTAGGGAGGTATATGAACTAGATTTGACGTGATTTTCAGAGCTAGAGAAGGATGTTGAGCTGTAATTTTAAAAATGAGCAGTAGTTAAGGAGACACAAAGGGAGGTATAGCATTCTGGGGTGTGTTCAAAGTCCCTGTGATAGGAGAGGAAATGATGAGAGGCCAGAGTGACTGAAGCCAACAGAGCCATGGGTAGAGTGGTGAGTAGTAGTCAGGGCCCAGGCCACTTGGGACTTTATAAGCTTTGCTAAGGATTTTAGACCTTTATCATGTGGCCAGTGGAAAGCCATGGAAAGATTTAAGAGAGCAGGTGTGACACCACTAGATTTTTATTTTTGAAACATCACTGACAGCTAGAGTGTAGTAGGACAATGATAAAAAAGAGACTATAGGGCTATAGCAGTATCCAGGAGAAAGATGATGGAGGCTTGAAAGAGGGTGGTGGCGGTAGAGACCCAAATAAGGGATGAACTGGGGATGTATGTTGGAAGTAGGGCCTACAAGACCTGGAGATTAACTGAAAATTTAACTAGTACAGTAACGACACAAGGTCAACCACTCTTCCCATCAAGATCAATTAATTAATTGCTTTATTAAGAAGTTTAAGAAATTTCCCTTTCTTCATTGGCAAAGATCCAAAGGCCCCGGTGATGTCCACTACAAAAAGTATGTTCTTGCCGCGCAGAGCGCATGCACAAGACCTAGTTTCCCGAGTAAGGGGCCGTGTGACTTTATCCCCCGGGAGGGCAGTGGCGTGGAACTGCAACGTTTCCTGGGCAACGCCATTGTCAGGCGCTGTGGGCGGGAGAAGGGTAACTAAGGACAACTGCCAGAAGAGAACTCCGGAAGAGACGGAGAGTCAGAGAGGAAAATGGGCAACACGTGCTGTGGCCCTGGCCATCGCGGGTGATTCGAGGGCCCAGCGCGAGGCTATAGGCGAGGGCGGGTGGGACCACAGAATGCGCCTGTGATTGGTGGGCTGGGGATACCGGGACGCTTGTGATTGGGTGCGACCAAGACTGTGGGCAGCATTTTGAGCCGCTTAGGGTTCTGGGTAGCAAAAGCCTTGGAAGAGTCTTAACTGAAAGGGGGAGGGGGAAGGTAGCCAACAAACGGCTGAGCTCACAATCCAGGCAGGGACCAGACCGGGCGTCCCCCTCCCCCCATGGAGAGAGCCAGGCCGGAGCCGCCGCCTCAGCCGCGCCAACTGCCGCGGGCGACCCCGCCGCGCCCGTTGCGCCCCGCTCCGCCCCCGCTGCCGGTCGAGGGTACCTCCTTTCGGACAGCAGCCGTCGAGGCCTCTCCGTCGCCGCCCGCCTTGTGTGCCGCTGCCATTGCCACCGTGGCCTCGTCGTGCGGAGAGGCCCCGGCGTCGGGCGCACAGCCTGCAACACCAGCACGGCGGCTGCTGGAGGTGAAACCAGAGCAGGTGCTGCTGCTACCTCAGCCGCGGGACGAAGTCGCTGCTTCGCCCGCGCAGGCGCGATTGCTGCAGCTGAGACCCGAGCTTCTGCCGCTGCAGCAGCCGCCCGCGTCCGAGGGCGCCCCCTGCAGGTCCGAAGTGCACCCGGTGCAGCCCCGAGCGCTGCACGTCAAGGCCGAGAAGCAGGAGCCCGGACCCGGCTTGGAACCGTCGGTGGGGCCTCGGAGGGTCGTCGAGGCGGGACCCAGGCCTTCCCGAGTGGCCAAAGTGGAAGGCCCCGGGTCAGCTCTCAACAGCCGCCGAGGGGACGAGAAGAAGGACAAGTTGGAGACGGAGGAGGTCATGAGAGACGTGGGGAAAGGCGGTGAAGGCAAAAGCCTGGTGACCATTAGAGAAGGAGTCATCAAAACCGAGGAACCCGAGAGATTCCGCGAGGACTGCAGGCTCAGCTCGGAGCCTGCGTCCAATGGCTTGATCCATGGCAGCAAGGAAGTCATCCTGGCCCAGCCAGCCAGTGGCTTTGGGTCGCACCAGCAAGACCTCAGGATCCCTTTGACTCTCCACACCGTCCTCCCTGGGGCTCGGATCCAATTTCAGGGACCTCCACCTTCAGAGCTGATAAGATTGACCAAGGTTCCCCTGACACCAGTGCCTATTAAAATGCAGTCCTTACTGGAGCCTTCTGTAAAAATTGAAACCAAAGATGTCCCGCTCACCGTGCTTCCCTCAGATGCAGGTATTAGACGGCAGGGGAATCTGGTTTTCAAAACCTTGCCTGTCTTGCCCCATAGTTGACATGTCAGCAGTTCAGAAGTCTAAACTAGAAAAATAAAATCATGGAACTGATTCTTTTCAGGGGAAAGGCTGCACAGGTATCACTTCTGATTGACTTGTACGTAGAATACACTAACAAGCTCACCATTCCCAAACGTTGAAAAAATAAGTATTTTTTAAGGCCCAGTAAACGTATAAGATTTAGATCTGACTAATGTTTATGTACAAAAATAGAAATATTCTTGCTAGACAACCCAAAACCCTAGGTTTATATGCTACGAATAATCCACATTAAAAATATTGTCTTAGAGTGGCTTAGTACTTGAATCAAGAAACAGAAAAGTTTATACCAATCATAGGGATTATTTAAAATGAACAGTAAACATTTTTCTAAGAGGAAATAGTGCATGATTAAATTTAACACTTTACTATTTATTCTTTTAAAAGCCAAAGACATATATTGAAAATGAAGATACTATAGAATAAGCTAGAAAATTTTGTTTTTAGAGAAATGACTACAGTTACAGCAGTAACAACTACAAATATTTTATTTCTATCCAGTATTTCCAAATATGTGGTTAGCAAATTCTTATATTATGATTTAGTTCAGATAGAACACAGCACCAATGAATGTCTTAGAAAGTCATATTATACTTCAGTTTATATTTTATTAACTTTTATATTTATTGTTTTTGTTTGTATTTTCTTTTATGATGCTTCCCACTACCTTGCTCTTGTCTTTTGTAGTTTTTAAACTTTATTTTCATTTTCTAAGAGAAAGAAAGGGAATGCTTTCTTAGTACTGCTTATTTCATTCTTTGCATGTTTTGAAAAATTTTATATACCAAAAAAAAAAAAAAAAACCATTGCTGTCGAGTCGATTCCGACCCCTAACTCTAAAATAAACTATAGTAAGTTTATAGATAGTCTTTTTCTGGATGAACTACATAACAGATGTGAATTTAGCTAACTTCCTTGTAATTTCAACTGGCTCTGTGACTCTCAGCAAGTCACTTTTATTATTTTTGTCTTATTTTTCTCCCAACATATTAGTGATGATGACACATCTTGATAAGAGCTTCACCCTCATAGTGAACTACAACTAAGATAGTATATTATAAATATTTTTGCTTGAATGGACACCACCATGGCATGTAAATGAGTTCTGTTAGGCATTTAGGGAGCCCCTACCTAATGCTGGAAACCCTGGTGGCATAGTGGTTAAGAGCTACAGTTGCTAAACCAAAAGGTGGACACTTCGAATCCACCAGTCGCTGCTTGGAAACAATGTGGGGCAGTTCTACTCTGTCCTGTAGGGTCACTATGAGTCAGAATTGAATCAATGGCAGTGGGTTTGGTTTTTTTGGTTTACCTAATGCTAAGGAGCCCTGGTGACTCAGTGCTTAAGCTCTCGGCTGCGAACTGAAAGTTTGGGGGTTTGAACCCATCAGCCACTCCTCGGGAGAAAGATGTGGCAGTCTGCTTCCGTGAAGATTTACAGCCTTGGAAACCCTATGGAGCAGTTGCACTCTGACCTATAGGGTCACTATGAGTTGGAATTGACGGCAATGGTTTTGATTTGCTTTATCTAATTCTAGGATTATAGTCATGAATAAGGAGCCCTAGTGGCGAACTGGTTAAGAGCTTGGCTGCTAACCAAAAGGTTGGCAGTTTGAATCCACAAGCTGCTCCTTGGAAACCCTATGGGGCAGTTCTACTCTGTCCTGTAGGGTCACTATGAGTCAAAATTGACTCAGTGACAATGGGTTTAGTCATGGATAAGTCATAGTTCCTTCCTCCTAGTGATAGAATATTTTTAATGGGAAATAAATAAAATGTTAATTATTTTTAGAGGTATTAATAAAACTCAAAGAAGTAATAAGCCAGCAGTTTACTCTGTCTCCAACTAGCATATTATTCTCTTTGAGGAAAAGGAGAGTCATTCTTAGCTATAGTTTAGAATGCTGAGTTCAGGGGTTATGAGGAATTCTGGAATATTGGCAGTTCTCTGGCTATATTGAACTGTATGTTTTCTCCAGATACGTTAGAAATAAACATAGATGGAGGTGCACTTCACTTTAAAATTGTGTGTGTGTGTGGCACATTAATTTAGTCTCTTAATTTTTGTCATGTAGGAATACCAGATACTCCCTTCAGTAAGGACAGAAATGGTCATGTGAAGCGACCCATGAATGCATTTATGGTTTGGGCAAGGATCCACCGGCCAGCACTAGCCAAAGCTAACCCAGCAGCCAACAATGCAGAAATCAGTGTCCAGCTCGGGTTAGAGTGGAACAAACTTAGTGAAGAACAAAAGAAACCTTATTATGATGAAGCACAAAAGATAAAAGAAAAGCACAGAGAGGAATTTCCTGGTAATCAAACGAAATGAACAAAGCCTTTTTCTAATTTATTTTAAATTAATTTATTTAGGTAAAGATTAGGTTAGGTTGAGATTGAAAGGCAAAAATGCATCATTTTTTCTACTCTGATATGTGCAATAAATATTATAGTAATGATCGAATTGGTACTGGATATAGGTTTCCTTAAATAAAATCAAGCAGTAAACTATCTGGTCTCATATTTATCAACTAATACAAGCCAATGGACGTACAGTTTTACTGTGGTTTTGATTAAATAGATATAGATATAAACTTAATGAAGATAGATAAAGCTCCAGAGTTCTTCCTCAACTATACTTTCTGAGTTTTTGCTTTCAAAGAATTATGGGAACATATCAGGATCTTTCGAATTTTTATTTGGATGACTGGGGAAAGCTGAAATTTATTTCTATGCCATAATTTTGCAAACATACAAGAAAATGAGATGTTAAAATCATAGCAATGGAAAAAATATGTAGTGCGCACTTAAAGATAATGAGAATGCAGGGATTAACATCACACCCCATTCTAATATGGTTATCAGAACATAGTCCTGCCTTCTGATTGATACATTTATCCCCATCTCGATATAGTTTTGAGTGAATCTGATTCCTACCCACCAGTGACGACATTGAGATTCAGCTTGGGTAAATGCACAATGTGTGGCCAACATGACTGTGCATGGTGGGAAAAGAATAATTTTTTTTTCCTGAAATATGAGCAGAGAGATTCTAGGGGAAAGATCAGAGGCAGTGACTACAGAGAACCAGTGATTCTTTTGGTTACACAGTGGCTACAACTGCCATAACCCCATTCTTCTGACCTTGAAAGGAAATTGGGTTATTTGTGGACTTGGAAATTGCCAACTCTAAAAAAAGTGACTTCTTGAGCCAGGCATAAAAATAGTTGTGACTGGTCATTAGTGACCATTACATTGTAAGATATACACAGTTGTATCTTATAGAAAGTGAGGAAACAGGAGATGAATAATGTCTTATGGGGCATTGTTTTATAGGTAGAGCAAAGGCTTTTGGATTCAAGCTCAATGGCTTTAATGTTGATTTTACTACAGATTCAATACGTGTCTTTGAATATAAGAAATTTGACCTTGCTTTTACATTATGGATTTACAGCATTGGCCACGAGTTCAGAGCTATATGGATATGTACGTTAAAATGCACAGTGAAGGAGTCATTCACAGAAATAGTATGATAGAGCTGGAAAATATACCTTAGACAACTTATTTTTTTTTTAAACTTTGAAGTGCTTTGGATTTTAATGTGAAAAGAACTATTTAAAGGGGTCTACACATTTTTATTAAAAATAGTTTATCTTTTTCTGTAGGTTGGGTTTATCAGCCTCGTCCAGGGAAGCGAAAACGCTTCCCTCTAAGTGTTTCCAATGTATTTTCTGGTACCACACAGAATATCATCTCTACAAATCCTACAACAATTTATCCTTATCGCTCACCTACCTACTCGGTGGTTATTCCCAGCCTGCAGAACACCATCACTCATCCAGTTGGTGAGTCGGTTTTATTGTAGATTACTACTTTTTAATGGCTGTGTGAAAAATTTACCTGTTAAGTTGAAATTTTGTTTCCGTTAGGTGTAAGAATTTAAAACAATATTAAGAAAAAAAATCTAGAGAAAGTAAGAAAATTAAATCAGAGAAGGAAAATTTTCAGTAAACATCAAAGCACCTGATTTGGAAGAGTAGGAAACATTCCATGTCTAAAGCTTCAGATCTTTTAAGCAAATCAGGATGAGTCCATAGATTAGGCAGATAATGCAGGAAATGACTGAGTTAATTTAATAGGAAATAGAAGTGTCCTTTTACTATCAGCATAAAAGAATGCCTTGCTAATGGGGTCATGAAGCATCATGTCCTGGAACTTAGTAACGATGACTGATCTGTTAAGACCCTTCCCTTCCTGCTCTAGAAAAACAATGGAAATAATCTATTTTCTACCAAATATTTGTTTGGTTCATTATATTGTCTTTCTCTAAATCTCTTCTCTATTATTAGTTCTTCAAAACATTCCTGTCTGTTGCTTTTAACAGCCCCAAACTGAGAACCTAATATCTTAATAACTTGTTGCAGTGCTATTCATCATTGGTTTGTTCTTTCTGAACCTACCTTAACCATCTGTTAAAAACAAAAACAAAAAACAAACCCATTGCTGTCAATTTTGTCTCATGGTGAACTTATGTGTTACAGAGTAAAACTCCATAGGATTTTCTTGGCTGGAATCTTTACAGAAGCAGATTGCCATGCCTTTCTTCCTTGGCACCGCTGGGTGGGTTCAAACACCAACCTTTAGGTTAGTAGCCGAACACAAACCATTTGCACCACCTAGGGGCCTTAACCATCTCTTAAAACCAAAAACAAACCAAACCTGTTGCTGTTGTGGGTCAATTCTGAATCATAGCGACCCTATAGGACAGAGTAGAAATGCCCCATAGGGGTTCCAGGGAGTGGCTGGTGGATTTGAAGTGCCGACCTTTTGGTTGGCAGCCAAGGTCTTAACCACTACACCAACGTCCTCTTAGGGAGAGCTTTATACATTCACTACTTGCTATCACTTCACCTTAAACTACTGCTCTTTCCAAGTTCCACCTGCTCAGACCCTTCTGATAATAAGACCATTGCTATGTGCTGAGAGGTTTAGATATCTTGGAAATTAACTTATTAGACTCTTATGCATTTTCAGTTCTTTTTTCCATGTATCATTTTAGCAATCAGTAACAGCAAAGCCACATTCAGGATGCCTAGGTTCAAGAGAAAGATGCGGAAAGCAGATCCTGTAGCCTAGTTCTCTCCCAGCAATCAGGGCTCTCACACCTCACTATTTGCTAGTATCTCCTTTAATCCTGTATGTCAACCCAGGCTTAATCGTGTCTTCATTCACTTATTTTTTTTCTGCAGTGTTATGGTTTCTGTTTTTATTATATGTTTCTTCTCTTTATCCGTTTTTCCAAGACCTCCCTTCCATCTGCTTCTTAACACCATTAAATGCTGTATACTTTCTCTTCCCACAACCAGATTTATCAAAGTTCCCTATTTGAGGTCGCTGAGAGTTTTATACAATAATATTAATTTTATGCAATTCTGGGCAAAGATACTGGCTGGGTAGAAACCGGAAGATTTTCTTCTAATGTTGGTGGGGTTCTTGGATCCATGAGTTGTATTTAAGTATGGCAGACATTATAGGAAGCACTTCAGAGCTATACACAACAGGAATCAAATCTAAGGCAAGATAATGATTTTTAGTTTATTTGTAATATCCCTTATTTTTGGTGCTATAAAGATTCTTTCTTGGATCTCAAATGATAAACAGAGCTCATTATCTTATAAGCATAATTTGGGAATGATTTTCCCAGATATATATCTGATAATTAATGATGAGGTTGATCTGCTGCTGTGCTGCCCAGTCATACAACTTTGAACAAACCTGTAGTTTGTTCTTATCAGCTTGGCCTTTATTACTCAGAGGAGCTGGTATCACATCCAAATTTGGAAATTTCACTATATGTTCCATATTCTAAATCATTTATAAAACTGTTAAGTAAGAACAAATTATAGCACAAATCCCTAAGAATTTATACTTCTAATCTATTATTATCTGTAGATGTGAATTTTGATACCTTCCCTTTTTTGTTTCTTTCAACTAATTTTAAGTTATATTCTAATATGAACTTATGGTAATTTTGTTTTTCAAGCATATTTGCTTTTTTCCATGGAAGAAAGATATCAAGTTAGGTATGATTTTTCTCTTACAGAAACAATTTGCTCTTTTTTTCTGGCAAGTTTTGTTCACTAATATGATATTGTATAGATTTCACCAGCTTTTAAGGTGTAGAAAATAAACTCACCAAGTTAAAGTTCCCGAGGTCACCACTTCCAATAGATGGGTGTTATGTTGACTTTCTAAAAGTGCTGTGGTGGAGGCCACTTGTGCCTACCTTATCCAGTAGTGTCTCAGTTCTACCTTTGAGTTTCTCTACAATTCTTAGGTGAACGTCACCTAGCCCTAGGGATCTATTTATATTCATTTTGTCAATTTGGACTAGAACATTCTGTGAACTTTGCATTATCATAGTTCATCTAATACTCTTAGCCTATCTGATATGGAAATTAATTAGGGTTCAGAAATCTTAAGATCTTCTTTAGTAGGAAAGGGTTTATTGAGTCTCTCTGTTCTCTTTTCAGTTTGCCTTTTATACTGTAATGACTAAATAACTCCACTGATTCTCTTCTTGCTTTAAAAGTTTTTAAAGAGTCAATTAGTATTGACTTTGGGGTCTCTCAGATGTGGCTCCTTCAGTTTTCTTTTGGACTGCCTAATTTTTGTTTGCATTTGACTTACCACACTTGGGCTTCTTTGTTCTACACATTTGGACAAGCTTTTTATTTTAAAAAAGATGCCCTTCCCTTTTGGGCTGTCTTTGATTTGGCCAGTTAAGCATAGCAACTTTCTGATTTTAAGGTACATTGTTTTCTCCTAGGTTTTTAGTATTATATAAACAACCTTCATTTTTCTATGAACTTTTTATTTTAGTTATTCCTATCAGCCTTTTTTTCCTAGACAATATCTATATTTTTAAAAATTGAATAACCCAAGGGTGAATTTTTCGCCTTTTCTCATTAGTCAGAATCTTAAATTTAAATGTGTTGGGATCACTATTATGTAATATTTCACACATAGATACATGAATTTTCTAGTAGTCTTTCTCCATTGACTCTCAAGCAAGCTCATTTCATTTTACTTTGTATTCTTCTAGACCTGTTTGTTCTAGTAAGCAATCATTTGTCTTACTCCAGATCATCCCATCACATTTTTATCCCATTAAGATATTCAGTCAATGCGTTTGAAACCTGCAATGTAATTTGGTAATCGCCTTCATTTTGGAGAAATTTTCCATCTTAGATGTCTATTCAGTCTACAATAAATTTCAGTGCCATATTTGCCCCCCACTACCTAATGTTTAAAGTGCTAAAAAGCAAACGTGTCACCTTGAAGACTAAGGTGTGCCTGACCCAAGCCATGGTGTTTTCAATTGCCTCATATGCATGTGAAAGCCAGACAATGAATAAGGAGGACCAGAGAAGAATTGATGCCTTTGTATTACGGTGTTGGTGAAGAATATTGAATATACCATGGACTGCCAAAAGAATGAACAAATGTATCTTGGAAGAAGTACAGCCAGAATGCTCCTTAGAAGCAAGGATGGCAAGACTACGTCTCACATGCTTTGGACATGTTATCTGGAAGGATCAGTCCCTGGAGAAGGACATCATGCTTGGTAAAGCAGAGGGTCAGCGAAAAAGAAGGAAGATCCTCAAAGAGATGGATTGACACGGTGGTCGCAACAATGGGCTCAAGCATAACAATTGTGAGGATGGCGCAGGACCGGGCAATGTTTCGTTCTGTTGAACAAAGGTTGCTATGAGTTGGAACCAACTTGATGGCACCTGACAACGTGGTGTTTATTAACTGCCTATTAGGGGTCAAACTCTGTTCTAGGTACAGAATACATAGAAGTTTTTATGGTCTCTGCCATCAAAGAGCTCATAAAGTAGTTGTAGAAATGACAGATACAAATACAACTAATTTTACTATTTCTTCGATAGACTCTGTAGTACCTTTCTTGGCTGGTATTATTTTTATGTTCAGTACATTATGTTTACTCTGTCTCTCATATATAATGGCACAGTTCTTCTCCTGCTTCTAGTTTCTAAAAGAGCTTATTGCATGGTATTTCTTTCTTTAGGTATCTTTCTTTTATCAAGTGTCTTTGATGCCAGTTATGCCAGCACCATCATTTTATGTTACGTGTTCAAATTCATTTATTCTATATTAAAGATTTCTGGAACTTTGTAGAAGATATATTTATTTTAGCATGGCTTTTAAATGTCATTTTGTACATCTGTGAATTTTTCTGCTACATTATTTTCTTGTCTACATTTTATTTCTCAAGTCTGAAACTGGTTTTCCTTATGACATCTCGAATCAGCTGGCATCTTTCACTCTTCTGAATTCATACATTTGCTCTAAAATTTTAACTTAAAAAATATTTACCACTATTTTAATTTTTTGGTAGTAGACATATGGTGCCATTTTTGTTTATCCACCTCTTTTTGCTTAAAACAAAACAAAAACCTTCATGATTCTGATACTGTTATAATCTAAAATCTTGGCTCTGACTTAAGGTCCATTCTGGCACAGTGTTGTAAGAAATACAAATCTGTCTTGAAAATTCCTTGAAAAGTGATATAGCTCTTTATTGTAGATTTCCTTGAGGCTTTAGGGAAGGAAGAATCACATAGTTCAACACATAGTAAGCCTTCTTGGGGCTCCTCATTACCTTTATCTCCCCCCAAAGTCCCACTTATCTTAGCAGTTGCCTAAATATTCTTCCCAATTCTCCATTCCCATTTGTCTCTATGTCCTCTGTCAGCGTTTCTCTTACTCTTTTTCTTTCTTTTCACTTTCTCTCTCTGCCTCTGTTTTTCTTTCCTCAGCCACATACTCATCCTCCTCTTCCTTCTTACTACTTCCACACGGTTTTTCCTTGTAGAGAAATTTGGTCTGTTCTCAGTTTCTGCTGTTCATGCCTTCACTGATCATCCTAGTCACACAACAGAAACCTGGTTGTACCCTTTGTCCATTCAGTACATGCAGTGAATTCTTCTTCTTTGGAAGTAGGTGTCAGGAAATTTACAGGAATTATTTTAAACTACTTATAATTTTTCTTTTGTCCCATTCATGCTGTACTATAAATCTAAAAGTCTTCTCTTTACCTCATGTAATAATTAGATAATGCTAGCTGCTTTAATAATCTCAAAAGGTCAACAGTTCGAATCCACCAGGCACTCCTTGGAAAGCTGTGGGGCAGTTCTACTCTGTCCTATAGGGTTGCTATGATTTGGAATTGACTCAACAGCAATGGGATTTCTTTGTTTGTTTGTTTTAATAAGCTCTAAACATAATGGTTTAAACAAAATTTATGTTCATTTTTTACCCATGTAAAGTCTAAAATGGGTATTTCTGCTGGTAGATGGCTCTCTCTCAAGAGGTGAATCATGGACCTAGGCTGCTTCTACCCTATGGCTTTGCCATCTTCAATGTGTGGCATTCAGGGCCACTTTACTAGTGTGCATGAACCTGCAGAATGGGAAGATCGTATGTAAGAGTTTTCTGTGGGCTGGTCCTATAACTGGTGCACATCATTTCTACTTATAGTCTATTGGGTAGCCATATGGCCACTCCTAACTGCAAAGGAGACTGGAAAATGTAATCTCTCTGTGTACTAGAAGAAGAGGAAGCGAGTGATTGACTAGTCTCTACCATACCTTTTGTATAGTTTGATGTATCAGAGATCTTCCTTTTTCACAAGTCTTCCCTATTCAGTATATCAAAGATGGCTAGACATTGTGGACTTTAACCTTCTGTTTAGCAACCTCAATTCTGATATTTAGAACATCTTCTGTATACTTCCATATAACATCTATGTTTCTGATGTTTGTCCTCAGACGAAAACAGTGCGTGTTACATGTGCGTTGCTTAACGAATATTTGTTAAATTAATAAGATTATCACCCCATATCTCATTGGCACCCCTTACTTTATAGGAATATCTTTGGTATAAAATGGTGTTTGGTATCAGCTAAAAGATGAGTACCTTCCTTCTTTAGTAACTGAACTTTACCTAGAGCTCTGTATGGCTCCTGGAGCTTATGTTTCCTTTGCCTAGAAAGAACTGTACTTGTTTAGTGAGAACTAAGAGCTTCTTGTACTGACTGTAGGAAAAAGAAATCTGCATTAGAGCTAGATTTTAGAAGTAGATGTCTTTAGTGTATTACAGTAGTAATTCATTTAAAACTTCGAGAGCTTTTACAAATCAGTCTGGCTTCATAGTTGTTTAAAGGAGGTTTAGATCTCCTTATACTAGTTTAGTGGTCAAAGTACTATCAGCTATAGGTGCATTCATTAGATCCTTCTTTCATCTGTTTGTACCTTTCTTAGCTAACTATCATTAATTAGGTTCTGTTCTAGATACTGGGGATACAAACATGAATAAAACAGTTCCCTGTTCTCAAGCTCCCAGTTTGGTGATTGTGGTGGGGGCACTAGACATGCAAATAATTACAAAGATTTACACTATTTCATGATAAGTGATAGACTTACAAGGTACTGAGGGAACATCGAGGAGAGAAATTACCTTGTGCTTGATCAATCAGGAAAGACCAGTGTCTTAGTCATCTAGTGCTGCTGTAACAGAAATACCATGAGTGGATGGCTTTAACAAAGAGAGATTTATTCTCTCATAGTCCAGTAGGCTACAAGTCCAAATTCAGGGCATCAGCTCCAGGCAAAGGCTTTCTCACTCTATAGGCTCTGGGAGAAGGTCCTGGTGATGCTTCAGTCTTCCCTTGGTCTGGGAGCATCTCAGCACAGGAACCTCAGGTCCAAAGGACGCAGTCTGCTCCCGGCACTGCTTTCTTGGTGGTGTGAGGTTCCCATGTGTCTTTGCTCACTTCTCTCTTTTATATCTCAAAAGAGATTGGATTAAGACACTATCTAATCCTGTAAACCTCATCGGTATAACCTCATCACGGTGATAGAATTTACAACACATAAGGAGATCACATACAACCTCATCATAGTGACAGAGTTTACAACACATAAGGAAATCACATCAGATTACACAATCATACAATACTGGGAATCATGACCCAGCCAAGTTGACAGATATTTTTTGGGGACACAATTCAATCCATGACAACCAGATTAGGGTTTGTGTCTTACAGATGGGAGGGCTAGTCCATGTAACCCCATTAACTGAGAGTCAAGACAGCTTCATTTAGACTGGACTTCTCTGTTGCCTCGACTTCATTGGGTAGAGGCCACCTGGAGACAGATGGATATGTCCCTTAATGCCCTACTTCCAGGTTTAAGAGGGGCATTATCTGCCTTATCTGAAGAAAGGGAAGGAGGAGAAAGTCTAACCTGGGTAAGGCTGAGAGAAGACCCCCATTTCTTTCAGCTTCTAACAGGGATATTTCTAACCACAGTTCTAGGACTGTATCTTCTTTATTAACAGAATCCTCATTCCATTAGAATAAACTAGATTATGGCTCTATTTTTACAGCTTCTATCTGTACTTCTTTGGAAGAGTTTAGTTAAATTTAGGCTAGGTGTGTCATTTGGATAACTCAATCAGCAGTCCTCTCTCCTTCAGGAACAGAAAGATCAAACACGTAATTTTTTCACCTACCTTTAAAAATTGTGCCACATCCAGAACATAATTCTAACTCACAAAAAAAAGACCAGATTTACTGGCCTAAAGGAGACTGGAGAAACCCCGAGAGTATGGCCCCCAGACACCCTTTTAGCACAGTGGTGAAGTTATCTCCGAGATTCATGGTTCAGCCTGGGAGTGGACAGCCCCATAAAACCAAATGAGACTAACGAGGTACAGTAGTCTAGTGACAAGGGCCAGAAGGCAGAAGGGGACAAGGAAGCTGGTGATAGGGAACCCAAAATTGAGTAAGGATATTGTTGATGTGTTGTGAGATTGTTAACCATTGTCATAGGGCAACAGTTGTAGTAACTGTTGAATGAGAAACTATTTTGTTCTGTAAGCCTTCATCTTAAGTGAGAATAGCAGCACAACTGGAAGAGCGTAGTCAATGTCACTGAACTGTGCATGTAGAAATTTTTGAAATGGTGTATCTTTGGCTATGTGTATTTTCACCAAAAAAAAAAAAAGAAGGTTGAGAAGTTAGAGGGTTGACATGTTGTGGGATTGTTAACCAATATCATAAAACAATATGTGTAGTACTGTTTCATGAGAAACTATTTGTTCTGTAAGCCTTCACCTGAAGTACAATAAAAAAAAACACACACACACACACACAAAAAATTGTGCCACATCAATCATGTCCTGCTGCAGTTGTATTCCTTTCATATCTGTCACAAATTGTTGACATGTGACAAGTCCAATTCTTACTTGGGTCTCCTTGTATATTCACATTGAATGCAACAGAGTGAAATAATTTTGTCGACTGTTTATTTGTTTTCTTCAATTAAAAAATTAAATGTCATTTGTAATTTACTTCAATATAAAGAACTATACAAAAGAAAAGAAAAATGACCTATACCACTACCGAGAAACCCCCATTAGTATTAAAAATAAAATTAATGTCTTTAGATAATAGAATATCGTCTAACGTATAAAATGAAAATCTAGCTTTTCTTAGTGCCCCATTGCCCTGTCCCTCCTCCCAGATGACCACTCCTTAAAAGTAACCACTGCAGTAGTTTCATATTACTGTATTTCTTTTAGAAATATATGTATACACACACGCACATACGTATTAGCATTCTAGCATTTGCGTATTTGTTCTTTTAGTCAATCAACCAGTCAATAATTTTATTCATATATTTATTTATCTAAAGAATATTTATTGAGGGCCTATTTTGTACAATCTGCTTACATAAAGATTTACAGCCTTGGAAACCCTATAGGGCAGTTCCACTCTGTCATATAGAGTTGCTATGAGTCATAATCGACTTGGTGTCAATAGGGATTTTGTGCTAGGCAGAATTTTGTGCCCTGGAAATGTATCAGTGAACAAAACGTGGCACCCGTGGCACTTGCAGTCTAGTTGGGAAAGAGAGACAAAAAATGTAAATAAATATGTAAATAGGATAACCTCAGTTTGTTAAAAATGCTGTAAGGGAGATAGAGTAATTGTAGTGATGCTATTAGTTAAGGTGGTTAGTGGAAACCTCTGGTTGTAGTTTATTAAATCCTACTGAAAAAAGAAAAACATGAGGTGACTCAATTAATGCTTGACCTCTGCTATCTTTATTTCTAAAGGTGAAGCCCCACCTGCCATCCAGCTGCCCACACCTACAGTCCAGCGCCCAAGCCCCATCACACTCTTCCAGCCCAGTGTCTCCAGTACTGCCCAGGTGGCTGTCCAGGCTCCAAGTCTGCCCCTCTGTCCAGCAGTCCCACCCCAGCGCTTTGCTGGGCCCTCCCAAACGGACACTCATCGGCTGCATTCTGGAACCAGTCATTCTGTGAAGAGACCCACCCCTGTCTCTCTAGAGAGTACCAACAGGATTCCAACTAGTGCAAGTACTGCCCATGCCAGATTTGCAACTTCTACCATCCAACCTCCCAAGGAGTATCCCAGTGTTTCGACTTGTCCCAGAAATGCTCCAATCCCCCAGGCTCCTCCCATTCCACACTCACATGTCTACCAGCCCCCTCCCCTGGGCCATCCAGCCACACTGTTCGGGACACCACCGCGGTTCTCTTTTCATCACCCCTACTTCTTACCTGGACCTCACTACTTCCCATCAAGGTAAATGAACAATTTTTTTCCTTTCACCTAGAAATACTAGTATGAATTTATATTTCTGAAGGCATCTCTTTGTTACTGAAAAGAGGGCTTTTCAGTAAAATTTAGATTAGAAGCTGAATAGGAGCCAAGCAGTTAACATAAATAGATGAAGTGAGTCAGGTGAGGACTGTGAGGAGCTAGAGAGAGTGCATGCCCCATCTAATGAGGGCAACTGCTACTCAGCTCCAGGCATCTGTGGCCACGTGACAATACAGGCTCAAATGTTGTCAAATCTGATTTTTCATGATAAACGGCCGTAAAGGACGTTGAGCTCATTTACTCAAGTCTCCTTATTGCATCGAGCTGTGCTTCTCAAGCTTTAATGTGTATGTGAATCACCTAGGATATTGTTAAAATGCAGATTCTGATTCAGTAGGTCTATACTGGGGTATAGCAGCCCTGATAGTCTGCGTTTCTAACACACTCCCAAGTGATGCCAATTCTGCTGGTCTGTGGACCACACTTTGAATAGCAAGGGTATACAGGAGGACACTTGGTCTAAGAGAGGCTAAACAACTTGCTCAAAGTTGTTCTCCCTCTCAGTACCCTTTGTACCAGACCAGAAAATTTCCCATTTAAATTATCAATAAAGGAATTGATTTTCATAGGGAAGTATCTAGGGAAAACAAATTTGTCACTTTTCATTTTACAGGGTTAGCATTTAACTTGCAAGTATTTTGATAGAGTGGTATTGATCTCAACTTTTCAATTGCTGTTAAATATGTAGACAGAGATGGTCTCTGTTGAGATTGGAGTGTTAAGTGTACAACACCAATTCTTCTACTGTTACTTATTTGTAAAGTAAAACTACTCCTCCCCACTTAGTATAACCACTTCTCAAAAGTGAACTTTTGAGTTATACATTATGTTGCTTCAATTCATAGTGAGATTTCAAGTCCTTAGCTCATAGTTGGAAGAAAGTGGAACCTAGGGGAACAGGTTAGGAAAAAGGGAGATTCTGCTATCCAGGGTTTGTTTTGTTTTGTTTTCCCCGTTGGCTCTATTTATCTTTAGCAGCTTTCAGAAGTCTTTTAGTTCAAGGCATCAAACCTCAAAGACTCCTAAAGCCAGGGACTGATAATCTATCCTCACTACTATCTGCTAGGATCTTGAATTTTACAGGAATTTTGGGAAATTTTACAAAGTGCTTTCTAGATATAAGAAGAGTGCTAAGAACACAGATGGAATTTAATAAATGAGTAGGCTTGAGAAGACTTAACCTTAGCTAGAACCTTGAGGTCTACAAACTAAAATTGCAAAAATTTTGTTACCTATGTAACATAAAATTCATTTTGCAATACAGGGAAGGACTTAGACAGTATTTACCCTCAGGAAAGGAGAGAAAAAGAGGCAGCTAGAATGAACTTGTCCTACAATTTCACTCTACTTGTTCGAGTTTTGTTTATTATTATTTTTTAGCATTTTGAGAGCTAAACATTTTTACATGTAATTCTCGTAACAATCCTGTGATTGGGGTATATTACTCCCAGTTTTCCGGATAAAGAAATTAAAACTCAGATGTAAATAGCTTTGCCAAGGTCATACAACTAGCAAATGGCAGAGCCAGTAGTCAAATTTAGATTTGTCTGTCTGATTTTCAATTCCATGTTTGTTTTTTCACTACATCAGTAAGACTTCTCAATATAATGGCTCCTGTTGATTGACATCTGTTAGTTGCTAGCAGAGAAACATATGGAAAATATGTACTTTTGAATGGAAAACTCATGTAGTCAAGTGGACTTTTGGGCAGGTAATATCTCCTTATATATTACACAGATTAAATCACAGGAAGTCTATCTTCCTTACTCATGACAGGCTTATGGGATATGGCTGTTAATGTATAAATCATCTGACACTTTAAAGAACATTTTAAAAGGAAACACTTGAAAGCAAGTCCTTAAGAGGCAGAGATTATATCTTTTTCTTTAATGCCCTTATTGTTCTGCCGTCCCATCACTTCTGACTCATAGCAACCCTATGCACAACAGAACAAAACACTGCCTAGTCCTGTTGTTATGCTTGAACCCATGGTTGCAGCCACCGTGTCATTTCATCTCGTTGAGGGTCTTCCTCTTTTTCGTTGACCCTCCACTTTACCAAGCATGATGTCCTTCTCTAGGGATTGATCCCTCCTGATAACATGTCCAAAGTATGTGAGACGAAGTCTCGCCATCCTTGCTTCTAAGGAGCATTCTGGCTGTACTTCTTCCAAGACAGGTGTGTTCATTCTTTTGGCAGTCCATGGTATATTCAATATTCTTCGCCAACACCATAATTGAGAGGCATCAACTCTTCTTCGATCTGCCGTATTCATCATCCAGCTTTCACATGCACGTGAGGCAATTGAAAACACCATGGCTTGGGTCAGGCACACCTTAGTCCTTAAAGTGACATCTTCGCTTTTTAACAATTCAAAGAGGTCTTTTGCAGCAAATTTGCCCAATGCAATGCGTTGTTTGATTTCTTGACTGCTGTTTTATGGATGTTGATTGTGGATCCAAGTAAAATGAAGTCCTCGACAACTTCAGTATTTTCTCCATACCATTAATGCTAATCAATAATGCTATTGGAGGAACCAAATGAAGTGAACAGCTGAGAATAAATAGTATTATACAGAATTTTATTTAAGAATGGCAAAGTAGTATGTCAGCTATAAACGTTATAAACGTTAAGTTACATGGAGTCTTCCAAAACAGAAAGCCAGTCTTATAAATAATACTATTGTTCCATTGCTTCTACCTGTATGTATCTGGTGATCATTCCCCCAGGGAAATGAATAACGATTATTTAGATATATTTCAATAAAATTCAGCCTGGCTAAATGACAAAATTAATTAAATAAATCCTCAATTTTTCTGTTGCCGCTTCTCTCAACTGATAATGGACTCTTCTCTAAAAAGTATTTATTACCCAATCTACTCCATATGTATATGGAATTATTTAATGATTTCAGTACCATAATTGTAATGGACATCTAATATACTTTTTTTCTCCCTTTTTGCCAAACAGTTCGTTTTGCCCCTGTGTATCTAGAGTAAAAATCAAGGCAGTTAGACAGTTTAATCAAGGAGTTATTTTATAAAATAGACAGACACTCAGAAGTGCTGATCCCTAGCTCTGAGGACTAACATCTTGTTGCATTCATATCTTAAGCATCTTCATACTGTGCTTATTAAAACTCTCTCTTTCTGTGTACATTAATTTATTAGATTTATTCTTATTTTCTTCCCCCCTTCATCCTCCTCTTTCTTCTTGTTACAGTATATTTATAGTTTCACATTCATAGGAGATCTCTAGAGTCTTCATTCTGTTGACCATTGTGTCAACATTTCTAAAGAGCATTCTGGCTATATTTCTTCCAAGGCATATTTGTTCGTCCTTCTGGCAGTCCATGGTATATTCAGTATTCTTCGCCAATACCATAATTCAAACGCATCAATTTTTCGGGCTTCCTTATTCATTGTCCAGCTTTCACATGCATATGAAGCAATTGAAAATGTCATGGCTTGGGTCAGGTGCACCTTACTCCTCAAAGTGACATCTTTGCTTTTTATCAATTTAAAGAGGTCTTTTGCAGCAAATTTGCCCAGTGTAATATGTCAGTTGATTTCTTGACTGCTGCTTCCATGGGCATTGATTGTGGATCCAGGTAAAATGAAACCCTTCACAACTTTTTTTATTTTATTTTTTTAATTGTACTTCAGGTGAAGGTTTACAAAACAAATAGTTTCTCATACAGTAGTACACATATTGTTTTATGACTTTGGTTAACAACCCCACGACATGTCAACCTTCTTCCTTCTCGACCTTTTTTTTTTTGGTGAAAATATACATAGCCAAAGATACACCATTTCAAAAATTTCTACATGCACAGTTCAGTGTCATCGACTACGCTCTACCAATTGTGCTACTATTATCATGTTAGATGAAGGTTTATGGAACAAAATAGTTTCTCATTAAACAGTTAATACACATGTTGCCCTATGACAATGGTTAACAACCCCACTACACCTCATCACTGTCTTTACTCAACCTTGGGTTCCCTATCACCAGCTTTCCTGTCCCCTTCTGCCTTCTAGTCCTTGTCCCTAGACTGCTGTGCCTCATTAGTCCCATTTGGTTTTATGGGGCTGTCCAATCCCCGGCTGAATGGTAAACCTCGGAAGTGACTTCACCGCTGAGCTAAAAGGGTTTCTGGGGCCATATTCTCGGGGTTTCCCCAGTGTCCTTTAGGCCAGTAAATCTGGTCTTTTTTTTTGTGAGTTAGAATTTTGTTCTACATCCTTCTCCAGGTCTGTCCAGAACCCTCTGTTGTGATCCCGGTCAGATCAGTCAGTGGTGGCAGCCGGGCACCATCTAGCTGTACTGGACTCAGTCTGGTGGAGGCCTTGGTAGCTGTGGTCCATTAGTCCTTCAGACTAATCTTTTCCTTGTATCCTGTTCTCTTCACTCTCCCTTGCTCCCGAAGGGATGAGACCAATGGAGTATCTTAGATGGCTGCTCACAGGCTTTTAAGACCCCAGACGCTACCTCCAAGGTAGAATGTAGAACATTGTCTTTATAAACTGTGTTATGCCAATTGAGCTAGATGTTCCCTGAGACCACAGTCCCCACAGCCCTCCACCCAGCAATTCACTCCCTCAGGGAGTTTGGATGTGTCTGTGGAGCTTCCATGACCTTTCCTTGTACAAGTTGTGCTGAAAACCCTTGACAAGTTTAATCTTTTCTCTGTTCTATCATGATGTTGCTTATTGGTTCAGTTGTAAAGATTTTTGTTTCCTTTATGTTGAGATGTAATTCATACTGAAGGCTGTAGTCTTTGATCTTCATCAGTAAGTGTTTCAAAACCGCTTCACTTTCGGCAAGCAAGATTGTGTTATCTGCTTATCGTATGTTGTTAATGAGTCTTCCTCCAATCCTGATGCCACATTCTTCTTCATATAGTCCAGCTTCTTGAATAA